TTTCTGCCGTAAAAAAGGCTTACACTAACTCCAAATGACTGGGAACGATAGAGTATGTACCAATGATCTCCGTTAATAAGAAAGGGATGGCCAGAATAGCATATTTGACCAAATAATAAGACCTCTAAATGCCCCCGCGTATTAGCCTTGTACGGGGCCTAGCCCTATGGCAGGTGCCGAAGTGCAAAGTTGGCTAAATCTCAGCAACTGTTTGGATTTCTGAAGAGAAATTTGGTCACATTTTACATCTTGCCCAGTTTTATCGCATAAATGAAAAGAAACTCAAGATTAAGCCGCAGAACACAGTATTAATGGGCGACCCCCGGAATCTATGACGCGGGTATAGAAAGTAGTGCACTGCCAGACAGATCTCTTGAATCCTGGCTATTGCGACTTAGGTGAGAGGTAGCCATGAGTAAACTGCGCTGTGTGGTAATAAAAGGTATCGGCTTGTACACCGTATGAGTTGGATTGTGAAGATGTCCCTGTTCGTGTATAATTAAGGCGCGGCATTACGCAATCGCGTTCCAGCTGCAGTTCCGTTGACCCCGGTAGAGGGCCAAATCAAAGTTCCTTGATCTTATTCCTAGTCGTCAAAAAATATAAAAATCGGGGATCTGGGGGTAATATACGTGCCAGGTTTAAACGATGTTTGCCTAATATATGACATGACTTGTCGCAGAGCGGGCTGAGAGCACCGTCCTTGTGGAGTTGGGGCCTAAAGTGAACCGACTGGTTTTTTTCAAGGCCGCACAACACAGTATTTATGGGCGAACCCCTTAGTCAAAAGTAGTACGGGTACAAACAATGGGGTACAAAGTAGTGCTGCACAATACTAGAGAAAGGTGCAGAGATTGTTATGTGCATGGCATCGAGATAGAACCTGTGGTAAATGTTAGAGGAATACGTCAGTTTTGAGACCGTAAAAGTTGAATTATGGTGGGTGTTCAGTCGGCGTAGATTTGCGCTTGGATACCTGTACCGACTAGTACTGTGCGTTGGCTGCAGTTCAGTGACCTCCGCAGTGGCGCTAATAAAAGAGGGCGTGAGAACACAACGAGCCGGCAAACAAGCTCATTTTCACATATTGTGTACCCCGTACCCTGAAATTAAACATATCAAAATTCTGAACCTTGCTTGTGCACCCTACTATAATTTTTAGTGAGTCGAAGTGAGTCACTTTGGGGTCCTTAACTATAGAAATCCCCATAGGGTGAAAACTGTGTTGTGCCGCCTCAAGGACGTCGACACCTGGCATTTAAGGGTCAAGGCACACGTTAAGTCAACAGTAGTCTCGTGATTGTTTACAATACGAAAGTCTATCTCAGTTCAGTTCAGATCAATTAAAATAGGTTAGAATAAAAGATATAAAATGATGAAACATCTAAAGCAGTTAAACATATTTCAAAGTTGATCCTGATATCAAAGAAATCGCAAAAACAACTAGAAAGGCCAATATTTGCTTTGGAGCAAATACAGCGATGGGTTCACCACATTTTACCACATGGCAGGGAAAGAATGAGAAACACAAGGGAAAACAATGATTTACATTGATATAACTATAATATGAAGTAAAATACAACTAAAACAACAGTTGGATAGCTATTCCCTACTTTATTGGTTAGGATTTTTAATTGCATAATGCAAACTGTTGATTTTCAAAATAAAAAAAAAACGTCCATGCCCGGCATTCCAATGCTGGAGCAGGAAAGCTTGAAATACCTACCAAAACACTTGAATACAGACATACTGTCAGTATGGAAATGCTTCTGTGCAGGTGTTAATCAAGTTAAATCCCAACAGCCAATCAGCAAGAAGTATAGAGGAAAGCTGCATGCCTATTGGTTGATGCCCTGCATTCCATTGTTATGACTCATGCCCAAACGTGGTAAACAAGGCACACTAACACAGTAATACATTAGCTATAACACAGCCAAAAAACTCAAATAAAACCATTCTAAAAGCCTGTATCACAATAATTTAAAAAACGCCTAGGGGTATTTGCCCACTGTACCTCCCATACCAAATTTCAGGACCTTGGGCCCTAAAATGAAGAAGCTGAATCCATTTAAAAAATGGCAGGAGAAGAAGAAGGAGAAGGAGGAGAAGAAGAAACATCAGAAAAAGCAATATGGTTTCACCACACCACGAAGTGGTGTGGTGAACCCATAAAAACCTTTTAATGTGTTCAAGTAAAGACTTCATTTCCATAATCAATGTGAAAATAATTTCTTATGGTTTGGTAAATGAAGGGAATTTTAACACTTTTTACACATTTAAGTTTGTAAAATGTCAACATCACCATTTATATTTAAAGTTGTTAATGTGGATTTGTATAATGATAATGGGATGAAACAATTTTATAAAAATGAAAAAAATGACAAGGCTTTCACATGTAAAACACATTGCACTTAGATTAAAAAACAATAAGTTAAGTCAGATTATGTTAAAAACTTTTAACGTTATCAACGAGACATTAAAAACTTTTTCAAAATATCTATATATTACAGGGTGAAATAAGATTTTCGACCTTTTGTTCTTGTAAAAGATTTATACGTATGTTTGGTTATAAACAACATTTGTCTTTGTGTCGTGTTACGCCATACCTTTTCAGGGTAGTGGTTGGTGTACGCTAGTTCGTGGTGGGGTTCGATGCACAGTTCTGGTGGCTCGTCACTAGCTGTGTCCACCGCCTCGGTCAGTCTGTGCCTGATGCCCCCTCCCCCTCTGTAGGTGGTCAGCTTCAGGCCCAAGTTGACCACGGCCCTGGAAAAATCTTCTGCAGTCGCTAGTGGCAGGCCTCGGAAAAGTAAGGCGCCTTCCTTGCGTTTCTCTAAGACGTCGCGGATCACCTGCCGCATCGAAGTAGCGCAGTCCTCGGGGGAACAGTCGACCTTCCCCGCGGGAGTGTAGACGTTAATGTACCCCTCTTTAGGTGGTGAGAGGAACTCAGGAAAGTTCGGACTCTGAGACCCAGCCAAACGTTTTCTCCCCCTGATTCGTGCAGGGTGGGCCTGCAGTTGGGAAGCCCAGTCGACCTGAGTTTCCACCAATTTGACAGTCGCTCCACTTACAGCGGAAGCCTGGCAGAAACGCACCTTGTAAGGCAGAGAGGCAAGGCCTGAACCACGCAGGAACAACCTGCTTGTGGGTCTAATAAACCCAGACATGTTGGACCTAAACAAATCCTGACTGAAAGGTTAAATCAAGGTGGTTAGGCTGGGTTTGACGGTGCACACAGTAATCCCTCCGCGACAGGAGTAGTAGTGCGAGGTAAGATAAATGACGAAAGGGTTTCTAGGGATCATATAGGAGTTCAATTGCCCGGGAAATGTCATTTTCTTATAACATGGTTGAGAAAGAGTGTAAGAAGTTGTTTTCCTGGGGGGGGGGTGAGTTTGGGGCCAAAGCTACCGTGTTCCAGATGTCTTCCGCGTCGAGAGCGATGCGTCCATCATTAGTGGGCGTTGTTGCTATACCTCGCGAGGACAGGTTACTACCCCTTGACCTGCTGGCATTTTTACACTATTATTTTTTTTCAATAAATTCCATGTCTTAATTAGGTCATAGACCTTGGAACATTTTTTGCCCTGCGGTGGCATAGTTACTTCCGCATTCGTTTCTCTGCGGTGTGATGCCTTGCACGAGAAATACCCTCAAATTGTACCTAATAGCATACAGAGTTCTACATAGATGGTACTGTATGTGCAAAACAACAATTGTTGTGCTCCGTAGGACTAGGTCTAGTATTCTAAAGATTGTGTCATGACTTTAACCTTCGAAAAGAAGTTTATATTCTAGTAGCGTTCATGTCTGTGTGTGTGCGTGTGTGTGTGTGTGTGTGTGTGTGTGTGTGTGTGTGTGTGTGTGTGTGTGTGTGTGTGCATGCCAAAAAAGCAATGCAAGTAAAATCGTACTTGAGCAATGATTGTAGAGGAAAAAAGAAGGAACGCTGATCCAATCATGATTTACTATATTTAACAACTGAGGGCGTATTGTGATTAAGAGTGGATAAAGACCAGATATTGCATAATCCGGTATCGGAGATGTCTGGTCACGTGTCAGCCACGGATGCAGGAGTACCCGGTCGGACCACCCTCCTGGCAGTACCATCCAGGACCGCAAGAGGACGCCGTACAGTACTCAGACCTAGTACTCATCCCTGTAGGTACTGTACAAGACAGAAAAAAAATGTTGACATTGTTGACAAGAAACTCCATTAAATGCCAAATAGCTACATGTATCTAGGCAACATTTTATGCACTGATATAAAACAATAAAATGTACAATTTTTAATTCAAAACCAGATCAAGGCTATAACGATTTAACAATAATTTACATCTGGAACCTCATATATTGCTATGGTTGTTACAACATTTCTATGTATGTCACAACTCCTTTACATTTTCATTACAGTGGGGTCGTGTGGCGTAGCGGCAGAGTGCGCGACTCGGAACTAAGAGTCCCGCGTTCGAGTCCTGACATGCCACCGATCTTGTGCCCTTGGGAAAGGCACTTTACACGGCTTTCCTCATTTAGCTCAGGTGTCAATGAGTACTGTCCTGTCATGTATTTGTCCCCTGTGTTGGTGGCGGCATTAACATAAGTTGAAGAAACTTGAGTGTGTCGTCACCATGTCTGGTGATTACATGTTGGAAAAAAAAAACTTATATTATACTAAGATGACAGAACGCCATCGAAATGTCGTCTCTTGTAAACTTAGATATTTTATCATTGACTAACTCGAAGAAATAATCTATAGATTCAGTGTCTTACTTTCACAGTGAATCTCGACCGTGTAGTCGACACAGACCCAGTTATACGGGCACGGGTTGGGGTTGCACAGGTCGATATCTGCACAGTAAGATAAAGAAAAGAAAATGTACAATGGTCATACAAACTTAAACAGCCATACAACCTAGCCTCCATAGCATTCCAAAAACTGGGGGTTCCGGGGGTCTTCAGGGTCTTTGGGATCTTTTATGTGTTATTTTAGAACTGGGCTAATCAGAAAACAGCCGAAAACCTCCAAACCCCCAGTTCTATAAGCCTACTATGGAGGCTACATACAACTCTTAAAATATTGATAAAATGTATGGAAAAGCTCTAGTACAAACAGCTACAATGGAAAGGTGCTTTAATGAAAAACTTCTTTGAACGAGTTATTTTAGAGGACAATAGTCATCTACATTTTAGGCCATAATATAACCATTCCTCTAATAAGACGGGGGACACCACAAACGTTAAACAACTTATAGTCCACTGCTCACCAAGTCTATTGTTTCATTGTATAACGTCAAGTCAAAAGACTGAAGTTGCAGCATAGCAAATATCAATAAGTTCATTTTCTTTTGTTGGAACTTATAGTTTAAATTTGTTTCATTAAGAATTCAAAGTTCATGTCAAGCTAATCTATGCAGAAACGTTTTGGCGACCCATACCGAGTTCACAGTGGTCTCCGGTATAGCCTCGGTCACAGGTGCAGCTGTAGGAGTTCACTTCATCTACACAGGTGCCGCCATTTCTGCAAGGTGAGGATGCGCACTCGTCCATTTCTGTAAAACATATAAGAGCACCATCTTAAAGTCTTTATACAGGCTACATTAGAAGTAGCAGGTATCTGAAATGTTTCCAATACCAGGGAATTGCCTAATACAGTAGATTTGTGGCTTCCTGCATGTTAAAACGTTGTTGATGTTTAGTAGCTTGCTGTATGTGGGTTTGCATTAGCAAGATCTGTTGTAAATTCGTCCGCGTCGACGGGCGCCGCCATTTTTAATCTGCCACTTCCCGTCGCCATCTTGTTTCCTGTCGACAGGCCAGTCAATATCTTGTACATGCAGTTCCGTCATAAATTACTTTTAGCTATAGGCACTTCATTAATCCCGTATTGCAAAATATGTACTCTAAAGGTACAATTTTGACATTATCACAACTAGCTATTAAACATAACTCCGACTAATACTATAAAAGGGGAAAAATAAAAGAAATTTAATCCAATTAATTGTAATATTGATAATTCGTGTAAAGAGATTAAGTATAATTGTTATTATAGATAAGAATTGAGAAAAAAATATTATACATGTCTTTTAAATGAAATATTTGAATTAAATTACTTAGTTTGGTGGTTTAGTCATTCCTTAGAAGTTCCTAATGATATATGCTTTTGTTATATGATTTGGTAACAATATATGGCGTTAAGATAATTTTATTTTTCCCCAACTCAAGAAATTTTCGAGTAAATAGCTTATCATCTTTCTGACCCAAGTGCTTGAGACACGTGATATTTTTCCCACGTGTGATGTCATCACAGAGTCAGAGTTTGCCGGAAGTAGGTACGGCCCTCTTTCCGGTTGAGAGAAGGTTGGTATGCTTCTGACGAACTTTGGCCTAATGCTGACGTCAAATGTGGGAAAATTTCACGTGTCTACAGCACTCAGATAAGGGAAATGATGAAGGCCGACCGATTCAGTGGTAAATTTTAGTGAATACATTTCTTGACTTTGAGCATAGTTTTGTTCTTCTTATGCAATCCATTGTGTAACACCAACTAAAGTTTTATGTTAATACATTATGCAAAACCACAAACCACTACAAACCATATGGCAGCTACCTACAATGCTATCCAGACATAGGTAAGGCCATGTTGATTTGATTATATGGATGACAGCCTCCGGGAGCCCCAAAACTGATGCGCGCGTGCGAATAAATAAAAAGTTTTGCCAAAAAAAAGTTATTTTCATCATGAAATCTACGTGGTCATAAGGGTTAAGCAAATGGCACAGAATATGGTTTGGCGAATAATCTAGTCTTCAAGTTCATTTCTTTACAATTTCGTCTTTTTTCGTTTGATTTTGGCATTCTACGACATTGGTATAGTTTTTATTAATTTTTTTTTGGTAACTTATGGTATATTTTGGCTCATTTTGCAACTGTTTTGTACGATTTACATTATGGTTGAAAACTTTTTTTTGGAAACGGCCGAACATTCATGCACGCGCGGATGTCATCCACATAATCAAATCAACATGGCCTAACAGATGAAGCCTTACCTGTTTCACATAGGGAGCCAGTATATCCCGGGAGACAGTCACAGAAAAGATGGGAGTCACCAAAGCAGGAGGCGCAGTTCCCGCCGTTCTGACACAGGCCAGGCTGGCATGGTGAGTAATCTGGCGAGGAGAGATAATAGTAACATTTTTTTTCTATTCCAACATTATTGATCACAATACATGACTGCCACCCAAGTTTGTCCGACATATTTTTATGCCGCCACCAACGCAGATAAACGCACAGACAAACTCACTTGAGTTGAGTGAGGAAATTCGTGTAAAGTGCCTTTTCCAAGGGCAGATGATTGGTAGCATGGTTGAGGGTTAGAACCCAGGACCTTTTGGTTCAGAAGCGAACACTCTACGGTTACGCCACACGACCCCACTAGAGATAGCACTGGTCTAATGGTCTTTCTCGCATTACCTTTGTTAGGTACTGTTTACTTCATTACTTCTATAGCCCAAACTTAGTTACCAGATAAAAGTACACGTTATTCTAAGAAAAAGATCTGCAAGTAATACATAAATAAATGAAAAGTCCATTGACGAAGACAAGCAGTTATTTTTATACACAAAGAAATTATTACTCAAACAACTGGATAGATTTTAAAAACTATTTTACATTTCAGGTAGCATCTAATCCTTTCCTACATGGACAAACAGATCTGTAGTTGAACAGCTTTTTAAAATTAATTTCCTACTTAAAATTTCTAACCGTTTTAAAGGCCTATTAAGTTGTTTGTGAATAAGATACAATCCCCTGTGCATGTTCATGCTCTTACAAGATATTATCACTTAAAGTGAAGGCCACAATGATAGGGTAGTTCTAAGTAACTGCTACAGTAATATTACGAAGCTGTATCTGACTATATTTACAAGGGCTAATGCATACGATTGCAATGGAACTAAATGGAATTTCTACGACTGCAGATACTTACATGATTCGCAGACATAGTTGTGCTCCTCGGTACAGAGATGGTAGGTCCCGCGGTACATGTCTGCACTGTCCAGCAGCACACACACGTCAAGCGGCCGGTAGGAGTTGGTAGACATCCAAGTTGACAGTCCTGGGTACATGGGATACAAACCTCCGTGAACTATTGTAACAAAGTTAACTGGGAGACAAAATCAACACAAATACAAGTAGGGTACCTAAAGTGGTCAAATACCTTTTAGGGTCACGTGTTTGAGCAATCGATCAATCTATTCGCATCGAATAACCTAAATTTTAAGCCTTTTAGGTCTATAACACCATTGTACGGTTCTGTAGATATTATACCGAAACTGCCCTACGTAATATATGATTTTTTTCTTACAACATTGTTGAGTTGAAAGTTGCGCAAACCAACGTTTCGATTAACGTCGGCCATTTCCTTTGGGGCAATATTTGCCGGTTCTACTTTGCATTGTCACTAGTGTAGTGCATGAACCATTTTTGAACTTGACCTTTGTTTTGACAACTTCTTACTATCAAGTACCATCAAGATCCATTCTCAGGTTTTTAAATTATGCTGTTTCCATACATACAAACCCACGCTTTACCATGACAAAGACAAAGCCAAGAAACATAACTTTTTGTCGAAGGTAACTCACCAGACACCTGAGAGCCATCACTATACACGAACTGAACGGATGACGTTTTGACGGAGGTCCAATGGGAGACGTCGCTGCCGAGCATGATGAGGTCGGCAAGTAGCTGCTGGTCCTGCAGTCCCCGCACGTCCGCCAGGTGTCCTCCCATGTTGGTGCAGGCGGTGGAGGCGTCCTGATGGGACAGGCTGTCGGCTGAGAACCGGTAACACTTGTCGGGGTAGAGCGCTGAGGAAAAGACGAGAAAGACTTCTTGTAAAATCTGGTAGTCAGAGGACATGCATGTTTTTAAAATTTGCCACATTCGCGGAGTTTTCAGGGGTGCCAGAGTATACAGTGCAATTTTACGGAATACAGTACAATCGTATCAGTACACAATGCAATTTTATGGAATACAGTGCAATCGTAGAAGTATACGGTGCAAGTATACTTGAAAGTCGCACTGTATACTTAGTACTAGTATACAGTGCGACTTTCTAGTATAGGGCTTATTCACCACAGATGGTCACGTGACTCTCCCCCCCCCCCGGCAGCGAGCATTGTCCGCCATTAGGGGGTGCAGCATGGTGCCTATCGCTATGGTACGCTATGCAAACTCTTGGCGATAGTTGCGCATTTTGGGCCACAATCTACGTTTTGAACACTCTTCTTGTTAGTAACATTGTCCTTGGGGTTGTTCTGGCTCCATGTCCACGTTTCATGTTCTCAAGATCGGCTTTTATCTTTTTTGGCTGATCAGAAATCGGTGTGTTTTATCCTGGCGTAGGGGCCTGTAGATCGCCCCCTGTAGATGTCAACGTGGGTAGCCATGAACACGGTAAATCTGTTGGAGCTACCTGTCCCTTTACTCTGTGGTAAATGTCCATGTAGAACAGGGCCCTGGTAACTTGTAACACTCACCTTGTCCAGCCACAGTCGCGGCAGTGCGGACTGAGGATGGCGGCCGGCGGCCGATGGCCCCGCATTTGTTTGTTATTATCCAGACACAGTCCGGGGATGTTCCAAAATAGCGACCTTTTGCGTATCCCGACTACAACGTACTTGTCACCACGCAACTGCATGTCCCACAACACTCTCTACACATCCTGATACAACGCTTCCAGACTCTTAGAGGGTTTGAACCGATGTTGTGTGTAAAAACTTCTGCCCAGTACCAAATACGAAGCTAAGTCGCGTCAATGGACTCCACTGGCGGTAGACGCCGTCTCGATCAGACTGATCAAAACTAAACAAAAACGGGTCAATCCCAACAGATTTTATTTTGTTCCAGTAACGAGATGTATGAGTGGTGGTAAACTCTTCGTGTAATAGGACAAAGGACAGTTTACCTAACGTTTGTCGGCCATTTCAACGCTTGGAAACTCGCTGTACAGATGGACCCCAAAATGGCGTCGCACGGGACAGTCGTGACGTCATGATGACGTGTGGTGAATAAGCTCTATACTTGAACCGTATATTTCTACGATAGTAGAATTGCACTGTGTACTAATAAGATTGCACTGTATTCCGTAAAATTGCATTGTATACTAATACCAATGTACTGTATTCCGTAAAATGCAGTGTAAACTCTGGCACTCCTGGTTTTGCTTTTAGATCAAATGGACGTTGGGTGAGTAGGGCAGACACCACATTTGCGTTGCGCAGTAGAGGCCAAAAATGGGAATGCGATTGTAGTGCCTAGTTAATACCTTTGAAAATCCTTTTTTTCTCTTAAAAATTTGGTCCATTTTGGAGATTTTTGGGCTGGAAGGCACAGGTAGGGTCTAAACTTTCCTACATTGGTCAAGTTTTGTTTATTTCACCAGTTTAGTGGGCGTAGTGAGAGATGTGAGTGGTTTCTTGTCTGGCCAGGCGGATGGATACCATGGAAAATGTAGATCAAAGTTGAGGTTTTGTTACTATCATCAACTGTGGCGAGAATTTGAGGTGGTCAACCCCCTGTTTCCTTTCTATTTTTTGGGAATCAGACCCTTGTTGCTACCTGGTGCAGAAAAATGTTTGAGATTGAAGTATGGGCAAGTACTTTCATGAGGTGTTGAAATAGTGTATTTAAGCATGTGTTCCTATGGCAAGATCTAATAGTACTGTCTGCCCAGTAGTGATTCAGTACCCACCTGTTTCACATTTGTTTCCGGTTGTGTCGGGAGGACAGACGCAGCTGTATCCGGTCACGTGGTCCACACAGGTTCCGCCAGACAAACACGGACCGCTCGCACAGTCGTCAATGTCTGTAGGGACAAGAGTTTGGAGATTCATTTTAAAACGTCGAACTACGTACGGTTTGCGTTGAAGAAAAGTATGATTGCATGACATGTATAATACTTCATTATAAGACCACTCTTACATTATACAGTACAATGATTATACAGTACAGATTTTTGGCCATCAAAATACTTTACAGGACGTGTTGAAGAAACAATACCCCCCCCCCCTAAACCAGCGCCACCAGAAACGATACTTCTGGGAAAGAAAACAACAGAAGCGGTAGAGGTACTGGCTTCGCCGCGCGTAAATCGTCTTCATCATACATTGTTTGTTGCTAAACCTCCAAAGAAACTATAGTCAGAGTCAAAATAACACGGAGCTACAGTCTAACTATCTCAGACAACACCAAGGCTACCGAGAAAAAGTGGTTTTCTTACAAACATGGTGAAAAGAGACATATAGATTTCGACGTTCAATTATCTATCCATTATTGATAAGCATATACAAAATACAGAAGAGATATTTTCACCAATTGAATGGTAAGTGTAAACACAAATACTTGTCTAAAACGACCGAGGCCGATACGTCTAGGACAGCCGAGATAAAATGGCCTTCTTAAGCAAGTGGTCTTGTTACAAAAATAAAGCATGGAGCTTTCTAATCACCTGTTTCACAGTGTTTTCCTGTCCATCCAGGTGCACACTGACAGGCGTAGTCGTTGACCAAATCCACGCAGGTGGAATTCAACGGACAAGGCGAGCTGCTACATTCGTCTATGTCTGTAAACATAAACTTGATTGTTTTTGAAAGATTCTTTGTTTCGTGGGAGCTTAAGTATACATAAGAAAATATGAAGTATTGTGTCAGGCCGTGTTTATATGTGAAGTCACCCAAGGCGCTTTACATGTGGTTTACCCCGAAGCCAGTTTCAAGTGGCTCCATCTGAACGCTCCAAATCACATTGAAAGCGCCTCGATCCCAAGCCACTTCTAGAGGTGGTTTCGAATCGGTTTTCCCGCATCGCGATTTGCGTCTGAACGCAATGTGATTTCAATGTAACTTCGCCTGGTCATGGAATACGGGGTGATATTTCTTTATTTATATGCAATACCAACGTTTACGTGGCAACAACTTAAAGTCAAATAATGTGTCCGTTCTAGGGCGAGCTTCACCGCCTCTGGCGGGACCACGTCGGTATTCGGCCGAGATACGCTGAGAGGGGGGCATCAGCAAGCAGGTCGTTGACCTCTGACATTAATAACACGCTTCCTTGCGAGTTTTCATCAAACAACAATAAATGTAGCTCAAGCGAATTGAGATCGGACACGGTTTCAAAGGAATGTGTGGCACGTGGACCAGATGTGAGGAATGTGAGTTACCCGAATCGAGGTTTGGGTGACTTCACATAAACACGGCCATAGACTGAACCTCACTGCCTATCACAATTAGCAGTTCAACTAGTGATAGTAGGTGAATCAGTTATTAGCCAATAAGAGAGTGACAAATGTTCGCTAAAGATCTGTTTTTTTTTAATATATTTCAACGGAGGAGGGTGGAGCTATGGGGTCGACTGGAAGTTTTGGTAAACAGTACCTGTCTGACAGTTGTTTCCAGTCCATCCAGGTGCACACTGACAGCTGTAGCCGCTCACGTGATCGATGCAGGTGGCGTTCTGGGGACAGGGCGAGCTGTGACACTCGTTTATATCTGAAATACAGATGTTTGGTGTTATATAAGATGCGTATAAAAACAAGAATGTGGAGATATTAGACGTCTAGGAGATTTTTTTGTATACGTATTAAAATAAATTTGAACCGTATTGTACAGTCATAGGTAAAGACGCGATTGAATTTTATAGTTAAATCGACATGCTGTTGTAACGTAACTTATGTTCAGTACTACAGCATAATTTTTTTTATTCCAACATGTAATCACCAGACGTGGTGACGACACACTCAAATTTTTTCAACTTATATTAATGCCGCCACCAACAAAGGGGACAAATACATGGCAGGACAATACTCGTTTACACCTGAGCTAAGTGAGGGAAGTCGTGTAAAGTGCCTTTCCCAAGGGCACAAGATCGGTGGCATGTCAGGACTCGAACCCGGGACTCTTAGTTCCGAGTCGCGCATTCTGCCGCTACGCCACACAACCCCACAAGCACAATTAATGAGTCATACAATAAATACACAGTACATATTCCTTTTAGACCAATAGGATCTGTTTGGGGATCTAGTCATTTTTGCAAAGAAGCGAACCACGGGTAGTGTACTAACGCTTAAAAAGGCTGGCATCAATCAAGTCATGTAAAGAAGCATAATTTCATTTGTCAATGTTTCAACTATTGTCACTGAGAAAAGGTAGTGCATGCTACGTCTGATCGTTTCCAAAATCATGTCCAGTTTCTTGAGTCACTAGTACTGTTTTTTTTTTTGCGTATATTCTAACTAGCTCACCTGTTTCGCAGTGCACGCCGGTCCAGCCGGGATGACATCGGCAGGTGTAGTGGTTCGGCTGGTCCTCACATGTCCCGTGTAGACAGGGGGAACTCACACACTCATCTATCATGTCTGCACGATGGGTACATATTGTAGAATATAAGTATCCAGGCAAAGGGAAATAGTGAAATGTTTCTGGTTTTGCCCCAAGATTTTGACACCGAGCTAGGGAGCGCAGTCACATACGCCGCAGATCGTCGTACGGTTTTGATATTATGGGCTTAGCATTTTTGACGACGTCTCAGGGAGGAGCCTAATGGTACAGTATTGTGTGCAGTTTGCAAGAATTCTAGGAATTGAAGTGCCATGCAAACAATAACCCTAACAGCAACCACCGTCGCCATGGCAATGTATGTTTTCATTGCCAGTCTTGTTAAGCAGGCTTTTAATAGACCAACTTCTAACAGTGATACAAAAAAACTGCTGGACGTCCAAATTCCATTTTTCATGATCTTAGGACGATCTCACGATGAGTGTTTGTAACAACACATCCTGAAATATCGTCAAAATGAAATTATCGATCAAATACTGAAACCGTTCAGGAAACGTCTTGACCACGCCTAAAGACCTGCATGGATAAAAGTAAAATTTTACCATGATACAAAAAAATACATCTTTTATTAGTAATTGCTGACCATGTAAACTATAAAATTGTCATTTTTTTTAATCAGGCACCCTTGACTAACCTGTCTCACACTTGTATCCCGTGGCCCATGGCGGACATTGACAGACGAAGTTGACAAGAGTTCCTCCGTTCATGCAGGGAAAGTCTAGCAAAGCCTCCCCAACTGCAGGTACAATACATGTATTAAAAATTCTTTAGGAGTAACGGAGTGGAATCCAGACTGTTGCCAGGGCGTTGTACATGTAGGCTCTTCGGCACTAACGCCAAGAGGTGCCCGAAGAACTTGAATCGTCGGGCTGGGCTAGGATAGCAAGGTGGGGGTAGCAGCTCTGAGGGCTACTATTGCCGGAAAATTTCAACCTGCGACACTGGGGATACTGGGGAAACCTTTGGCATTATTAGGATCCACATTAAGCATACCTGACTTGCTTGCTGGAAGCAATTTCGCAAAAACATCCAGCTGGCTAGATATCCCTTTTAAGACATCGCAGCTCTATTAATACTATTATATATTTTATAACAGAAGTAAAACTTTTTGAAACAATCGGAAACAAAAATATGATAACAGCAATACAAGTTAAATTTTCCTTATACTATACCAGTCCATATACCATATAATACAACTAGAAAGGCCAATATTTGCTTTGGAGCAAATACAGCGATGGGTTCACCACATTTTACGACATGGCAGGGAAAGAATGAGAAACACAAGGGAAAACAATGATTTACATTGATATAACTATAATATGAAGTAAAATACAACTAAAACAACAGTTGGATAGCTATTCCCTACTTTATTGGTTAGGATTTTTAATTGAATAATGCAAACTGTTGATTTTCAAAAAAAAAAAAAAACGTCCATGCCCCGCATTCCAATGCTGGAGCAGGAAAGCTTGAAATAGTACCAAAACACTTGAATGCAGGTGGAAATGCTATGTGCAGGTGTTAATCAAGTTAAATCCCAACAGCCAATCAGCAAGAAGTATAGAGGAAAGCTGCATGCCTATTGGTTGATGCCCTGCATTCCATTGTGATGACTCATGCCCAAACGTGGTAAACAAGGCACACTAACACAGTAATACATTTGCTCTAACACAGCCAAAAAACTCAAATAAAACCATTCTAAAAGCCTGTATCACAATAATTTAAAAAACGCCTAGGGGTATTTGCCCACTGCCCACTTCGTGGTGTGGTGAACCCATAAAAATGCCTGTGGTTTAAGTTATCTCATATGCTATAGATAACTCATGTGCTAGGGTTAGTGATCTTGTCAGACATATTATGTAGTTATTACATAGTATCATTTTACAGTACACGCTAATTTGCTCATTTCCGTCTCGTAACCGGTTTGTTGTATTCAGCACCGTGCTTTATCTGGATTGTCCAGAGTAAACTATGCAGAACGTCTGTGAAGATTAATCATCCAGGATAATACTATTAAGAAAAGTTTGAATCTTTACTTCTGGATAAAATAAGAAAATAATGTCAGACGTTTCAGACGCCGTCCGGCATCTTTCATCAGTGAAATATTCAAAATTGCGGTAGAACTCGGAACGGCACCGTTAATTCTAAAAGTATTTATGTTCTAAATAAACAAATAATAAGTTAGCAACAAGCGTTCTATAGATTCTATATACAATACACATGGTAAAGTATTAACTAATGTAATGATAAAGATAAGTGAGTCCCTAGATATGCTGTAAAGTAGAATCCCATGTACTTGAAAGCTCAACTCTAAGTCCTCCCTTCCTGTTGAGTGATGGTTTATAAAGTCTTTCATAAATCGCCTCCTTGACTCCACGCTCAAACCAGCGCGCCTCCCGGTCCAAAATGTCCGTTGATTCAAGATGAAAAGAATGTCCTTTATGTTTGTCCAGATGGTGCCATATTAACATAAAGGACATTGCAGCTTTCCTCTATACTTCTTGCTGATTGGCTGTTGGGATTTAACTTGATTAACACCTGCACATAGCATTTCCACCTGCATTCAACCAATTCATTGAATTTGAGCGTGGAGTCAAGGAGGCGATTTATGAAAGACTTTATAAACCATCACTCAACAGGAAGGGAGGACTTAGAGTTGAGCTTTCAAGTACATGGGATTCTACTTTACAGCATATCTAGGGACTCACTTATCTTTATCATTACATTAGTTAATACTTTACCATGTGTATTGTATATAGAATCTATAGAACGCTTGTTGCTAACTTATTATTTGTTTATTTAGAACATAAATACTTTTAGAATTAACGGTGCCGTTCCGAGTTCTACCGCAATTTTGAATATTTCACTGATGAAAGATGCCGGACGGCGTCTGAAACGTCTGACATTATTTCTTATTTTATCCAGAAGTAAAGATTCAAACTTTTCTTAATATGCAGAACGTCGATAGACGTAGATAACCATGGTTCTGGATACGATACAGTCGTTCATATGTAAAACATCAGTAAAGCCGCGCAGTTCTGTGCTATGGAATGACCGTTAGGATTGCATCGACCGTTCACGAGACGGACACTAGGTAGGGAAAGCTCAGCCTTACCAGCACATATGGCGTACAAGTTGTAGTAGTACGCTCCCTGCAGATCCCACGTGGTCGTGTCGTAGTCCACACCCCAGGCGCTGTCATGGAGCCAGCCAGGCAGGCACACAAAGGTGTCATCAAGTTGCGGGCACCTACGAGGATCGTCAATCCCGCAAACAGTTAAGGACAGGACCTTCTGTGTGTAGCACCACGAGTGGGGATCGTCGTACGCGATGCAGCCCGCGGCCCAGCCGGAGTTACACGCCGTGGTACCGGGCTGGTGGCACGGGTATTTCATCCCAGCAGCCGCGCACGTAGCCTGGACGTTAGCGTTCGTCATGGCCCCCCTGGTCACACGGACCTTGAAGAAACCCCAGCCTTGGAACGTCGTCAGGTACACCGGTTGTTCTTAAAGTAAGAATCAGGGACATAGATATTATAAAGCAGCTTGTCTAATCAATTGAAAAATTCACTTGTTAAAGTTATTAGTTGTGCATACATATATATATATATATATAAGTAGAAAAGATGTGTTGTAAAATGGTACTTAGAAGGAAATGCTAAACCCAAAACATTAGCGTTGCAAACTGATTTCTAATGATATACCTTGAGACCCTTTTCACATACTGCCCACAGGTGCATATGTACACAATTACACATATACATGTAAAATATACACAATGCACTTGTGTACGCACATACCATGCATGCACATAAGCACACAACTATATAGGTGCACATAGAAACACACAAGGGTTGTAAATATGCACATATATACACGCCGACATATGTGTGTAAACACAAAATGCACAATACATACACACATACGGTGCGCACGTACACAAACGCAGATATATATATATATACATGTATGTGTATGTGTGGCGCAATTTGCTGACAAATACCGTGAAATGGTCTCGAAAGGATTAAAAAGACATATATATCCAGATACGTTCTCACGTATATTGGACATGACACGTCAAAGCTTTGCGAACCATATGTTCACAGTTAACTGTTCATCGTCACCTTAACCAGCCTATGCTATCAGCTGCTGTTAGGAATCAGCAGGCATTCTGTACCCACCTTGTGCCGCGACCGTCCACGCGAAGACAACCACGATCAAGAGCTGAAACTTCCACATCGTGACTGTCTGAATGACTCCTGAGTGTGTATAAACTGTGCGGCTTATATTATGTCCGATGTTGAATGCCTGGGGCGGCAACCATGGGAACTACACAGCTGACAAGTGGAGAATCCGGAGGCCTTGAACTATTGCACAAGGGCTGACGTCACTATTGCGCTGTGGAGTAAGGGGCCAAAATTGATTGTAGTCCCTACCTTAAGTTTTTGAAAATATTTTTATAGTTATTTTTCTTTTTTTTTTTAGTCCTTTGTAATAAAACAAACTGTCTAAATTGTCTAATTTTGATCATTTTTTAAATTATTTTTCCTTTTTTATTTCACAAGTTAAGTGGGCATGATGAGAGACCTGAGTGATGAGGTGTTGCCTGCCCAACGCGGAAGGATACAGGGGAGCATTTGGTTAAAACTAGTGTTTGTTTACCGTTGTCAGCTGTGAAAGTTTGACCTAGTCAACCCCGCCATTTTCTTTCTACGTTTAAAAGGCAAACGCTTGTAGTTCTCTGGTTCAGAGGAATTTTTGAGATCGAAATATGGGAAAACACTTTATGGGTATTTAACCATTCTATGGCTAAACGTGACATTACTGTCTGCCCTTGCTACCCTACAGTTCAAGGTGACGCTGCTTTAATGTTATGCTAAACGGCGCCAGACGCCACCTATCGACTTTGCTCTAAATTGCATGACCGACCTTATATTAATATTGCGTCACAATAACACTAGCCTCTAATTTACTAACAAATCTTCCACTTGAAATTCAATGGTCACAAGATGAGTCTGATAAAGTGTGGGCATCAAGAACAACAGTTTATAATTATTTTTTCTTACATCATTCCTTACAGTGCTCTTAGTGTACAATAATGTAATATTTCTCAAGATCTGTAGACAATTATTAGATGTAAATACAAGACAAACAGTAAATCAGACTTCTTGACGCCGTAAAAAATTTACAGTTAACGTTGTCCTTAACCCTTGTCCCGCTGGCATTCCTGGCACAATATTTTTCAATAATTTCATGTCTTAATTAGATCTTAGACTTAAGTAGATCTCAGTGGCTTTTGAAAAACAAGGAGCGATCGAGTTATTTATGTACTACCCTATAAAAAGGCTATATAAATGCCCTATATCAATCCAGGATATACTCATGCGGTACCCTTGTATCCTTGCAGATCTCACGATTTGTGACTGTACGGGAAAGTAGAAATACAAAACAAAACAAACAAACAAACAAACAAACAAACAAAAAACAAGAAATGCATTTGGGTTACAGAAATTAAGCCGAACTGTGAAGAGGATCATATGATATAATACCTCCATGTCAATACCTCCCTCACAGAGGCCACGTCAGCATAAAACCTCACAATAAACAAGCCGCTTATTAGTCTGGTTTCGAAGCTACATGTATGTATAATATTATGTATTATTCCTTTATGCAGTATAATGTTTAGCAAGCGTTATAAATCGTCTAAATTTTTTTGTCTTTAAAAGTGGTGTGAGCATTATACTGTGTGTGAGCATTACGATGTATAATGCAAATGCTAGAAGTCTTGTGTTCTACGATGGCAATAGCAGAGAGGTAACGACGCCGCGTTGCCATGTCAACGACATCGGCCGGGCCCTAATATTTTAGCAAGATGGTTACAAGGTGATCCTGATTTGACACCACAAGCTGCCCCTCCCCACCTATAGCAACATGCTTGGGTTTATGTATATACGCGACGGTGCGGATATGTTTTCCCTCAGCTGTAAACATCTCCATACGGCTGTTCCCAGTATCAGCCATAATCACACGCCCTAAACCGTCCACACAGATTCCTGAGGGATTGTAAAGTTTCCCTGCTCCACTGCCAAAACTGCCAAAACTAGAAAGATAGACACCGTTCTTGTCGTACTTTAGAACACGAGAGTTGTACCAGTCCGTGAATAAGATGTCCCCTTCCCTGTCCACGGTGACAAACTGTAGTAACTGTCCTCCTCCTGTCGACGCAAACCTGGTCATGTTACACGTTGATGCCGCTTGTGTCAGTGTGTAAGAAGGGCTAAACCACACAGCATCTGCGCCCCATTCCATTGTCAGTATGATTCTGTCAGAAAGCTGGTGCCAGGCAATCCCATGGAGTCTACTTTTGGTGCTGCAATTAAAATTGGCAAGAACATCGCCATCTTCACTGTACTGATGGATGGCATTTTGGTGAAGGGAGTTTTTATGGCTGCGACCTCTGTACAAAACGACCCACAGGGTGTCGTTACGACCCATGGTTATGTCGACTGCCTTTATGCTTCCTGTGGGGAAACTGCGAAGGAATGATCCGTTCATGCTAAAGACTTGGATTCGTTCGTTGCGCTGGTCAGCCACAAATATCTCGTTAGTGGAGGACACGGTCAGACCAGCCACAGTCTGAAACTGGCCTAGTTCTTTTCCTGCCCCTCCAAAGGTGACGCTCTCTTTCTTTTCTGTTTGTAAAACATAATATGAAGATTAGTATGGTTCCTGTATGTGGGCATTACTTTTAGGCTAAAGATTTATATAATGCATATTAGCAGAAGTTGGTGTTGCACATCAGCAGCAGTGTTTGGATGTGGTTTTGGGGCACATTTTGTCTCATGACTATTTTCAACACCTCAAAATTACGATTCAAAAAGGAGATAAAATGAGGATCATAAATATGTAGAGGTGTAAAATATAAATCCTTAGAGAAAGTAAGAAAGACAACACATTACCACATACACTGGTAATTCTAGCTAAAGCTGTTCATGTACAGGTCCTAATTATATAATAATAAACAAAGTGTAATTATAAAAATAAAAAAAAACATGTACTTGTACCCACCTTCACAGTGGTACGTTACCTCCAGGTACGTCCTCTTGTCCGGACAGGGATCACCAAAGGTGTCCTTTTCTATTGGAATGTCACATTGCTGTAACCCCTGGCATCGAAACCTTACAGTGGATAGTGTGATGTAGTTTTCCCTGTTATAAAATACACACAATATCTTGAAGCACACTGAATAAACTTTAATCAAATGGACATGTTGAAAAAGCTTCAAGGTAATGAAAAAAATAGACCGCTATGAGTTTTAAAATGCTGACAAATGTTTTTCACTAATTTTTTTCTGAAAATCTATGATACAAGAAATCTTCTTTTTTTCAATAATTTTATTCCAGAAATATTCAAGTACAATAAAACATGACTAAACTAAAATGAAACAAAGTACGTATACGTAACAACCAAAGACACATTAAGTCGTGAAGAAATAAAGAATTCTGAACTACAACAGAATTATGTATGTAAATGCAGGCTAGTAAAAGAATGACATTTCAGATGTATGCTAGGTAAACATAGACACGGGATTAGGCTATACAGCAAGTAAATTTTATGGATGACACAAAAAAACAACAACATTAAATCAGAGCCTTTTCTTGTCTCCTCTCTTCATAGTTTTCTGCCATCCACGTCTCAGCATGGCAACAGACATCTTTGCGCATTTTCGGCATGTTAACCACTGTCAGAGGGCAACAAAATTTCTTGTTTTTTTTTCCAAAATCAGGCGAAAATTAATGCGCGCGCTGATGTCATCCATAAAAATTACTTGATGTGGCCTTAGATGTGCTCCTACCTGTTGTCGGCATTTTCACACGTGACGTTAGTAGAGTTAAGCCTTATACATCCACAGCAAGAATTTTGTTCTTCCCAACCATAGAAGGTATCGTCGATCACAAGTAGCTCATCTGCTGCACGCTTGCAAGACAGTCGCATTGTCTCCTTTTCGCAGGCCCTTTCTGCATCGGAAATAGCATTTTACCTTCAGACCACACTAAGATAATTTGTTGATCTTCAATTTTTTTTTTCAGAAAAGATAAACGGACAGGGCAAAATAAAATCTACAGCAATAACCTCATGCTATCATTGTACAGTAGATACACCATGTTTCTAATCAGTAATAAGCACAATGTAACACTTGATTTTGTTGTGTGGTATATAAAAACTATGTTGACGGATGTTTCGAATGATATAATGATAAAATGGACAGAACATTTTCCATAAGAAGGAGTCAATGAAAATTGAGTAAAGCAGAGATCGCAAATTTGCTGAATGGAAAAATATAGAAGACTTCAATGCAAAGAACCACTTGATTATTTTATAGGCATGGCCTTATATGATTTTTTTTTTGGGGGGGGGTCCTAACAAAATGAACATCCTCCCTCCAGCCAGGTTGTTGTTTTACTAAACGGTCCAGATTCCCCAGAGTTTTCTACATTGTGCTGATACTTTCATTTCTTTCAGTTTTTTTTTTTTTCATTCCTTTCAGTGAAACTATCATTGGCTGCATGAATACACCATTGCTTTACTTCTTTGCTTGCCTTTTATGGCGGGTGGATTGGTACCGTTGATACCCTCAAGGCCGGGTAGGTTGGTCCCAATGATACCCCCAAAGTTGGGTGGGGTGGTGCCGTCAGGAATCAAGATGGTAGCTATAGTTACGGTAGTCATTTCTGTTGTATTCAATGCACTCGAGTCGTTGATTTTTTGCATAGGCATATCCTGTGTGTGGATAGAAACAGCAACAAGAAGACATGTAAGTAAATGAAAAGAAATAATAACTTCACATGGGGATGGACTAGCCTAGCAAACTACTTTTTTTTCTTTCAAACCCATTTATAGTGATAACTGTGACCAGCCCCTCCAACACTGCCCTGCCATTAACTTGCTACAAAGGTAACATGGTGGAACCCTACACCATGATGTGTTTGCTACAGCTTCAGTTATCATAGTGACATATGCTGAAGAAAAAAACACAAACACTTGTATGGAGAAAAAAAAACATTTTTTAAACTTCTGATTTAGCTACGGAGTTTCAGATGTAAGCTCTAAAGAAAGGAAGTAAGGCTCATCGTTAGGTTTTTCTAACATTAGACCTTATTTTATGTTGTGCACCATTTTTTTTCAATTTTTTTTCTGGACAGTCACCTTTCGCATTTTACTTTAGATGCACAAAAGTCGAAAAGCAAGCTTAGTGGGGCAGTGCACCACTTTCCAAATATTAATTATAAACCCCGCTTTTTTTCATTATTCTATAGTACCTGATGGGAGTAATAAATAAACAAAACAAGATTATGTTAAACAAAGAATTGAGCACTAACAGAGATTTTTCTACCTTACCTTTTGCATGCCTGGGGCGTTGAGGTAGAGTCCTATGATTGCCCCAACAATCAGAAGAAAAACCACCAAAGCGACCAGAAAGAAACTTCGATTCACTACAAAATAACAACAACAACAAAAACATCACACGGGCAAAATAACCAAATATTTAGCTATTAAGTAACCATAAAAAAACTGACAAACAAGGATAAATTATACATATAAAGAAGTACGCAGTGAACCCCTTAACACCTAATTAACAGTAATAAACATTTCATAAAAGCTAATAATTAATGTTATAGCAAATATATATATAAAAAAATTAACATATACAAAAAAACATACATACATGTAATCAAAACAACATGTTAATCAAAACAAAATGTATTATTCACAAACTAAACAAATTGCCTTCAAAGAGCCTGTTTGCTAATACCGTTTGTATTGCTGTTGGAACTTGAATAAAGAAAATGTGAAAAAAAATAAGATTGGACTAGAGATTTAAAAAAATAACCATAAAGGGCTATGAAAACCCATCATTAACCTGCAATTTCCATGCCCCCAAAACTTTAGGCAAAGTCTTTTTGTGCCATGGCCACAAATTTCAGAAAAAAGAAAAAAATGTACTATTAATGATTATCTAAGCATTTTGGAGCCATCGGTACCCTGGCACAGAAAATTTCATTCCACATACATGTAGAGTGAATTCAGGGACAAGCAACCAGGACAAGCAACCAGCCTCAAGACAAAATAATACATATTACACAGAGGCAGCTTCAATAATACACAACATTTGTAAAATATTCCAACTATATGATGTCTGGAGAGAAACATATCCAGAGAAACTACAGTTTACTTGGAGAAGATTGAAACCCTCAGTAGCTTGTAGACTGGACTTTTTTTAATCCAGAAATCCTTTAAAAGTAGAGTAAGCGGTACCGACATCAGACCAGCTACACGCACGGATCATCAAGGGATAACAGTCAAAATAGACACTAAAACAGAAGGCAGAGGGCCTGGACTATGGCGATTTAATAACAGTTTATGCCAAGACAAGAATTACAGAAAAATGTTAATACAAATAGTGGAACATTTTCAAAATAGATACAAAGAAGAAGATAATAGAACACTGTGGGAACTATGTAAAAAGGGTATTAAAGAAAAAACAATTCAATACAGTAAACAAAAAGCGCGCCTTCGCTCAAAATGTGTGCGAACGCTCGAAAAAGAACTTCTAGATTTAGAACGACAACTAAACGACAATAACGAAATTTTACTAAAATACAACCAAGTAAAGGAACAACTAGATAAATTTTATAAGTACAAAGCAACAGGAGCAAGGATAAGAGCAAGAACAAGGTACT